TGGACTAGATGACCTCTTGAGGTCCCTTCCAACCCTGATATTCTATGATTCTATGATTCTGACTATTCCCATGGCCTTTTAACCTTTCCTTCCTCCTTACTACCCACATAGGTTAGAACAGCATTTAGATTGAAAGCTTTCAAGGCCGGAAGGGATCATTAAGGTCATCTAGTTTGATCTCCTCTGTAACAGAGGCCATAGAACTTCTCCCCAGGGATTTCTGCATCAAGCCCCTTAATTCCTGCTCACACTAGCCTGAATTTATGCTTCCAACACTGGATCTTGTTATGCCTTTCATCTGCCAAATGAAAGAGCCCTCTACCCTTGGAAATAGTCTTCCCACTTACAGATTGTGACCTCAACCTGCTTTCCAGTGCTTGTTAACACTTAAAAAATATCTAGAGCCTCTTAACATGCCAAATCTAGCAGCAGCTGGGAGCGTTGTGAAGACTGGCCCCTATGGGGTTAGTGCTGTACAATTGCCATGTGGAAGAAACCATAAATCTCCCACAAAATGGGACATAGGCATATGTGCCTCTTCAGCCATCTTTCTGTTAGAGTGTTGGGAGACTGTTATTAACTAGCCTTTGTGTTGTTAACTAGAGCCAGGTGACAAACTCGATTTTTTTCCACCGAAAAATTCAGTTTTCACTGGAAATCTGAATACAAAAATATTTTGATTTGGAAATGCTGAAATGCGGGAATTCCTGTGCCTCATCGCCACCCTTTTCCTCTGTAGGCCAGGAATCCTGGTCAGACAACATCTCCTATGGCACACTATGGTCCTGCCTCTTGGAAATGGAGGCAGTGCATCATGGGAGTCCCTGGCCATGGCGCATGATGGGAGATGTAGTCCAGTCAAGGATCTCAGCCTGCAGAGGAGTAATGTGATATGTGGCAACTGAGCTACATATCCCATGAGGCACCACAGCAGCATAGCTGAATTGCAATATTTCTGGTTTAGGGCTTTCAGTTTTATGACAAAAACTTGAAATGTTCTCTGAAAAAAAGACTCTTTACACACACACACACACACACACACACACACACACAATA